ACGAAAAGATTCTAGTTTTACGGTAAATGAACAAGATTAGTTTTGTCATACCACGTGACATTTTCCGTCACATGTATTGCATTGACACATTGTCAGATGTCAATTTGGGACGATGTATATGAATTGATAATAAATTAAAAATAGATATTTTAATTTTATCGATTTTGATTATATCAAAATAATAATTCACGTTGTTAGGTATTGTGATCGGTAACCTCATGAGTCATACACAAAAGGAGAATCAGAAGAATGAGATTCATCAATTAATTAATTAACAAGTGTTGTACAATTAATTAATTGGATTAATTAATTCATGAACAGAATTTAATTAATTAGATTAATTTTATATTGGACTGTGTTAAGTTTAAGAGACGGACTTAGCCCACTTAGACTTATATTAATAAGCCATTAGGGTTTCCGAAAAATTGAATAGAACACAATTCATAATCTTGCTAGCAAAGAAAAGAGAAATCCTAATTTTCTCTCATTCTTGTTCCCTATGTAGTATCTATTAGAAGCTGGACAATTGGACATTTGTGAATTGCAAATCGTGATTGTTCGTGCTCCAAAATCGATAAAGGAGTTTGCAAAGTTTACAAAAGATGTATTTTCTAAAAACAGTTTCTATCTAGACAAAAAACAGATCTATGATGATAATTGAAAAAGAATTTATTTTTCACTGTACATGTTAAATAAATTCTCAACAATGAGTGTAAAGATAAAACCTTGTGGCGTTAATGAAAGGAAAAAGGTTTGGCCCTTTGAACACGGTAGACAATTTAGGTGGAGCTGCCACATTGGAGTCACACCGCGTAAAGACTTCTACCATTGCCGAAGAATTAAGTGTTTAGGCGATAATAAAAATTGAAGTTTGTTATACAAGGAAGCCCTTTCGTAAAGTCAGATTCAACAAGCCTTTGAATTCAGATCATGTCCACTACATTGAAAATTTTGATTCAAGATGGAGATTTTTAGGGTTTGCCCAAATTAATAAAATTAATTGAGAATCCATAAGGTTAGAGACAGATGGTGAGGAAAAAATTAGAAGAAAATGGTATGCACGGTTGCAGCGCAGGTTGATCGTTTCTAGTTTCGTGTAGAGAAAAGTTGAGAAAATGAAAAAATATTGTTTGTGAGATTAATGTATTAATTGTTTCTTCTTCTCATATGGTCGATTTGTTGAACCACGTTTAATATTTATTTTATATTTTTGGTTTATTTACATTTTCGCGGCATTTTGGGAGAATATTTTCCAACACAAAGAATAAAATAGCAATGCGAATTCCAAAAAAATTGAGGACTTTCTAAGCTTTCAGTCAGTTTAAAAGGATATTAGAAAAGATTAGCGATAAATAATTTTTTTTTTTTTTTTATAAACAAGGAGATTAAATTGCTAACTGATTTACCAATTGAAATCATATTCTGTTTCGTCAAAAGGAAAAATAAATAAATTAAAAAAAATTAATTAATTAAAAAATTGCAATTAATTTTTGGGTTAATTTCGCAAACGGTCACTGAAGTTACCTAAAATCACAAAACGGTCACTGAAATTTAAAACTTGCAGAAACGGTCACTGAAGTTTAAATTTCTTTCACAAACGGTCACTAAATTTTCAGATTTTTTGGCAAGTTTTGCGACGATTTTCCGGCAACTTCCAACCACCCAACCGCTGAATTTGGATACCATTGGAAAGCCCACAATGTCCTCTTCAATTACCACCAAAAATCTCCTCATAACTCCAAGGGATTCAGCTGAAATATACCCACGAAATCGACTACCAAAAAATCTGAAAATCTGCGATTTTCAGATTTTTTGGGCGAGTTTGCGGCAATTTTCCGGCAACTTTCGACCAGCAATACCGCATGTTTCGGATACCATTGGAAAGCCCACAATGTCATCTTCAATTACCCTGAAAAATCTCTTCATAACTAGTTGTGGCAATCGAGCCGAGCGGCTCGTCGGCTCGGCCGCTCGGCTCGTACTGTAGCGGCCCACGCGCCGTAGGCGAGCCTAGCCAGCTCGGCTCGCGTAGTCCGTTTCCTTATCTATACCAAAAAAAATAAAAAGAATATGGTTCTCGAGTTCCTGTTCATCAGTACTACTTGCGAGATGTTGACAGTGATGGCAATCGAGCCGAGCGGCTCGTCGGCTCGGCCGCTCGGCTTGTACTGTAGCGGCCCACGAGCCGCTTGAGCTCGTCAAAAAAGAGCCCAAGCACGAGCCGAGCAGGCCGGCTCGATAGGTGAGTAGAGCCTGCTCGGCTCGTTTTTGACGAGCGGTTCTTTTTTTTTTTTTTAAGAATGATAGTTAAAAAAAAAAATCAAAAAAAACGAGCCGAGCCCTCGCTCGCTACAGTACGAGCTCGTGGGCCGAGCCGAGCTCGCCCACGAGCTAACGAGCCACGAGCTCGAGCTCGAGCTCGTGGGTAACGAGCCGAGCTGGTTTTTTTGGTAGCTGATTTCGTGGATTTATTCTGGCCAAATCCCTTGGAGTTAGGAAATTTTTGGTGGTAATTGAAGAGGACATTGTGAACTTTCCAACGGTATCCGAAATCGGCGGTGTTTATGGTCGGAAGTTGACGGGAAATTGCTGCAAACTCGGCCAAGAAATCTGAAAATCTGAGCAGATTTTCAGATTTTTTGATAGCCAACTTCGTGGGTATATTTCGACTGAATCCCTTGGATTATGGGGAGATTTTTTGTAGTAATTGAAGAGGACATTGTGAGATTTCCAACGGTATCCAAATCCCACAATCATGGTGGTCGGAAGCAGTTAGTGACTTCACGGGATAACAAGTGTTAAAGACTAAATTTAAATGAATAAATATGTGTTATTTCCAACAGAAGTTTTGGATTCATTATTTCTGCCTTTATGCTAAAGACAATCAAAAGTATTCACCTTTCAAACACAATAACCAGAATCCAAGCAACTCTCTATTCAGCAGCTACATCACATTTGTAGACAACAAACTTCTTCATGGGACGTTTACATACTCCACAATTCACACTTCTTTCGATCAATCCTTCTTCATATGGAACCAAATCAGTGTGATTGCAAGGCTCAGAAGGAAATGAAGTTTTTAGGGTTTCTTCCGTGGCACCCAAAAAACCCAATTCTGCAACAGTTTCTACTGAAAGTTTTATTACATCAGTTGAAGAACCCCTCCCAAGCACTGCCCAACCCTCCTTATTTTCTCCGAAATCAAGAAATTCTGCCACTTCTTTTGCAATTTTATCTGTATTTTCTTGATGGATTATTGAGCTTTTGATATTCTCCAGCCGGAACCAAAAGAAATGTATTTTTTCAGAGGTTAAGGAAATGCTTAACTGTTCTTGATTAATGATGTTTAAAATGTTTTGCATAGTTTGATTGGATGAATTTCTGCAGCCAACATATACCAGTTGTAGTCGAATGCCTGCATCTTTTATTTTCTTCATTTTGGCAGTGAATTCTCTAATCCAATCTATGTTTTCGCTTCCAAAGATGCAAAGATTTCGGCCTTCCTCTACCTGATAACAATGTAAAGTCATAAGCTAAGGGCCTAAGGCAGAAACTAACATGTACTCTACCATGTTTGGTAAGAAGTATAGAGTAGAATCGGACAATAGTATCAACAAGATTTTACTGGTCAAAGTAGGTCGTCTACCTCTACTGAACTAATTGATATGATAATTATGAGTAATATTCTGAATAAATATGAAAATATAAATTAATATAATATTTCATATTGAATACATATAAATAAGGGATTTGACTACTTTTAACGAGGTTGACATTTTAAAATAGAATTCAAAATCCTAATATCGTATTAAACTCATTAAGTTCCAATGAGAAATTCAATAATAGTACTCAAACGAATTTTAAGATTAATCTGTTCAAATGAGTCAACATCTTGAAGGAGCTTAATAAAAATAATATATTAAAAACTATTAACTAATCTATAAGGATTTGAACTACTTATTTTAATGAGGTTTACCTTTCAAGGTAGAAGTCCTAATAATAATGAAATGACTTGAGAAATCAGGCAAGGCATTATTTTTATGGTCAATTACACAATAACAAGCATTGTTGAACAATTCATGCTTTCTTTCTATTTCTTTTTTCTTAGTTTTTATGCAAAGTATATTTTGAAAATCACGATTTGTCTAACAAAATGCTTTCTTAATATGTCAAGTACTATTATCCTCAAAGTCGTTCCAAAAATGCTTAAGGTAAGAAACAACGGAGAATTCTTGTTTGTCTCCCATTTTGGGAGAAGAAATAGAGTTTTGAATAGTATTTTTTGAAAAATGTGTGGTTGAAAAGTAAAGTAATTTTATTGATTTGTGTGTAAAATATTTTATTAAATGAATATATGGTGAAGATTATTTACTGTAGCAAACAATGCTTGATAAAATGGATGACAAATAGGGGCAATTTAGATTCTTACCCCATTGGTCAATAAAGGGCTGATGCCATTGGTCATGAGTTCAAGGGACCATTTCTCCTTTTCCCAAAGCTCTTTTTCCCTTGATATTGAAAAAGGAAATGCTTTGGCCCCCCAAATCCACACCATATCCATAGCATTTGAGTTCGTAACCATCCCATTTACATCCAAAACTACCATTAAAGGTTCTTCTTTCAACTTCCATTCTTGTTTGATGAAGTTCACCACTGCTGAATTTAGTGTCCAAGGCTGTCTTACTGAGAACCAAGGCAAAGAACTCGAAAAAACCTCGAAAATTCTTTTCTCATCAAGGCTCCATTCATTTGCAGATGGAATTGGAACCCATAATATAGCATAGTTTTCTTCAATTTGCTTGTGTTTGGGATGGTCATATGTTTGCTGCACCAGAAAAAGTAGTTTGTCTAGGGGGAGAAGCTCCGGCTTTGAGATCAAGAGTATCACTATCTTATTCTTCAATTCAAAAATGTCAACCTGTTCAAAGAAAGAAGATGGACACTTTGTAAGAACTTAGTAATGTATTCATAAAGGGCATGCGTGATATTTTGTCCTCGACTATACGGAACAGTAGAATCCGCAAGATTTTAGCTTTTCTTTATTACTTCTTTAATGCTGCATAGTACGATACTAAAAAGCTACGGAGATTGCAAGGTGAAGAAGTGTGAACTTCCCCCATATCGAAAAAACATCACAATTGAAACTATAGAATAACGTGCGCCGGTCCACGACATTGTAAAGGGATTTCCAAACAATGTCCACCTTAGCAAAGTAGCCAGATAAGGATTTAATATTTAGCAGTAAGGAATGCCAATTGTATTTTCCAATTATTGAAATTTATTTGTTTTCAACAATTTATAATGCTGTAATGGTTGCAGAGGCAGAAGAAATTGCAGATAAATTACCTTCTTTTGTGAGGAGTGATCCTTGAAAGGAAGTTCAACTTTACATGAAAATAATGTATGCAGCACCTCTTGATTATCAGTATGCTTTTCCTTAAAAATAGTTAGCAGCTTCGCTTGCAAACTTGTATCTGCAAGAAAATTTTAGACTACTCAAATTTACATGGATTTAAAAATCGAAATATTTTAGATGGAATTTTTTTCCATAAAATCAGTAACCTATTTGTTCTTCCAGATCATGGCACAAGCTGTTTAACTTGTTGCCTAGACTATATAGTGTCCATGCTGCGACAATTTTTGCATTTAAACTCCTGAAGAAACAATTAAAATCTCACTATACATATTAGGAAACTCGACTAATAGTGAAAATAGTGAAATGAAGAGAAAGAACATGCACTTGCTCATGTCTCACGCTTTGTGGATCTGTAATCTGAGACGTACACTCCAATATGCTTCGAATGATCCAATATGTGGCCATGTAGATATTAGAATTCATAGTAGCCATTGCCTTATGGTCATGTGACACAGGCAGGCTTGCCATCATTTCTACGAGTTTTGTCACCTTCACCAGACAGTTGATCAACGAAATAAGAGCTTTAAATTTTGGGTCAAACATGATGTCTCTTGGGAATCGTTTAAGTATTGCAAGCGATAATGCTAATACGTTATCAAAATGTAGCTGTTGTATGAGCCAAAATATGCCATAGCGAGTCGTGAAGGCTGCTAGTACTAAGACCACTTTGGCATCCCATCTGAAATGACTGACCATTTCGAGCAAAACCATTGTTTTTGTGTGCAAATTTCCTTGCTCGAAGCACCTGTAGAGTATCTGTCAACACAACCATTTGTTATTAGACATTCCAAACTTCAAGAGCATGTTTAGCTCACTGTATTAGACAAGATTGCTGAGAAATATAAAAAACAAGATTTACCGTACTTTTCATTTTAATACGTACTATCTGATATTTTTCAACCTTTCGCATCAAATATGCCATGAACCACAAGCAAAGGTGCACAGTGCACTCAATTAAATAAAGAAAAGAGAAGTTAAAGAGATGAGAACGAAATTACCTCGTGTGAGATCTTGTATATGGTGCATCCAAGTGGCTCGTCTGATCCGATCATATCAATGCTTCCCACATTAATATTGGCATCAGATTGAGCATCAGAAACCTGAAATATAGTTTCAAGATTTACAGTTTCTAACAAACCCTACATGAACAGTTTGCTTAACATAAATTTATAGCTTTGCAGAGGAGAAACCATTACATCAGACAGTGTCGAACAAATAACATTCTCTACAAGATGAAGCAATAGCTCTGAATCGAGCTGCCTTCCATCTGGATCATGCGTGAGCATGATTTCCCTTATCAGAAAATCGTCCAACAAAGAACTTGAGTCCCTATCTTTCATTTCCAAACGAGTTCATGAACAGAAAACGGGATTCAGTGACTAATGGGCTGAGAGCTGTATCCACTTGCCTACATATTTTCTTTAAAGAAGTGGAAACTGGTGTCTGAATTCATGAATCTTATTTACACCTCACTTATCTGTAAGAATGAGCAAAAATGAATGAGATCTGACATGAGACCAATGTATATATAAAGCTTTTTGCAACTGGAGAACTCCTGAAGTAAAGTCGCCTATTTAAAAAGCATTGAACATGTACTTTTCTTTGAGCAATATATTTTAGAATCATGTACTAAGACCACCCTTTATTCACTTTTTCCGCGAAATCTTGAAGAGGAATAAACCCCATTTCCAAAAAAAAAAAAAAAAGTATTAGATTATTGTACATACAGTTATCTTCAAGCCAATGTAGGACTTTTGTTTGCACATCAGCAACAATACCACTCGAACAAAGTACCACAACAACATGTCTAGTTTATGTAGGTGGAGATTTTTTTTTATGTAAATAAGAACTTTTATTAAGATAAATAGTCATGAACAACCAAAGTGGAAAAAAGAGTAACAGTATCTACCTATTCCAAGCAACCGGAGTGTAGTAGCTAAGAAAGCTAGTATGTGGACAACTTTATTCTAGGCCGAAAGCACGTTTATCACATCCTAACTTAACGTGTGATGAAAAAGTGAACAATAATAAAATATTCTTGTTCGTAACACTCGAGTGGGTGTTGTTCGAATTTCGCTCGAACGAGCAGGAGAAATATTAGAATTTACCAATGGAAAAAACTGAAAAATTATTAGTCGGAAAACGAATGTCATATTTTTACAACCTCAACATGTATTTAATGTTTATAGACGCAAAATAAATCATAATCATATTGCAGTCTTAATTCTCTATATGGATCCAGATAAAATTAAAAAACTGCAAAAGATGAAAACACCTTTAAATTAACTAAAAATAAAAAAGCACTGAAACGGACCCCTAAACGATGGAATTTGAGCCCAGTTTGATATGGTAACTGATTGTCACCCCCAACAAGATTGTGCAGAATCTAAAAACGCTTTTGGATTGTACTCATCGACAAAAATCCGACACCCAAGCCAAAGTAAAGCGATTTTCGTAAATCCTTCTTATTTCTTCTCCTTTCTAATTAATTTAAGATTTTCTCTTCTAATTGATTCGCTAACTCCTTTAGTAGGGCTTCAATATCATATATTAAACCAGCATTGAGAGCAAATACACATCCCTCAAGCGATGACCTCTCAATCTCTTTCAACCGGGAAGATCACTCTCCATAGAGTTCTACATCACCTCTATCGCCCCAGACTCGGGTTAACATGGAGGCACCACTACTGCTAATCTCCAGCTATCAGTATTAATTGGACCGTTTTCACACCGGCTTGGGATTCATATCGAACGTACGGCTAAGTTTAGAACATTAATTTTTTAAATTATAAATTATGAAATTTCACTAGCCCCGTTTGGTCCATATTAAAATTATAATACATTTTTCTTCATATTCTTTTTATCCACACATTCTTCAATAAAATAACATTACACGTAAATCGAAAATTTTTCCTTATTTTTCAACCACCTGTTCTCCAAAAAAACACTATTCTAAAAACAGTGATGCTACTTGTATGATCGTTTTTTACAATTTTGGTTGATAATCATAATGGCAACATCACATTAATCCATTTCAAAATCTACTTATTAAATTAATGGTCTAGATTTTGGCATCAATATTGTCATTCATCATTGTCAACCACAATTGTACAAATAAATTAATTTATTTAAAAAATTATAATATCAAATAATGGGGCCAAACG